TTAAGGAGTGCGTTGATCGAATCCTGATCATCATCACGGGTCTGAAGCTCCGGGGAAATATCATCATCGGAATTATCCTCATCTTCAGCAGGCTTTTTCTTTGGCTCAGGTAGGCCAATCTTCTTGAGGAACAACTGGGCTGCCGCGATTTCAGTAATGCGTCTCTTCTTCTTCCGTGCAGTAATGTAATCGGCTATTAATGAAACTCCCCTTGGGCCCCAGTTGCTCAAATTCTCTTCGCCCTTTACATAGCTATGCAAGCTGTTCATCCTCCATAGATCGCCGACCCGCTTAATAGGCGCCGGTCGCATGCCTAAGGTGAAGATCGCTGTAGAAGAATGCACGATCCTAACATGCTGAAATAGAGCCGATAGCATTGACGTCTGCCGGACAAACGTCCTGCCCAAAATCTGGCAGTAAACATTCGTTGAGAACTTCATTGGCTCAGCAAGATTGTCAGCAGTTACATCCCAGGACAGGGTCATCTGCACTTTGTATTTATCTGCTGTCGTGCGATCAAGCAAAAGAGAGTTGTGTAAGCTAGAATCCCATTGCCCTGTAATAGCCATGCTTCGCGTGCCGTTTGCGTTTTGGCGGTGATAGGGTTTCGCGCTCAGTCTTAGGGGGATATCGGGCGTAGGTGATCCCATATCAGGATTTTTGCCGGCATGGTCGACAAGTTGGATCTTGCCAATGCGAACCGAAATGATATCCTCCCATGGCAATGTATCTCCCGAGCTATGGGTGAGGTTGATCGCCACCCGTCTCTGAAGTCCTTGGTGTAATTGAAAAGTACCAGTGTCGAGCTCACTTGTTTGCGTGACCTCTACAGGAACATACTCTCCGTTCTCGCTGAGTTCGAGGATCTGGACCCGGGCAAGTAGATCGTGTTTCTCCTCAGTGTAGAACTGTGTTTCGTTTATTCGAGCGCCCGGAGAATCATGCCCGGGGTTGGGAGTGGTGTCGCGCATCTCATCCCAACTCAACAATTTGTCGAGATGCATCGTAGAAACTTTGGCGAAAATGGCAATCCTAAGATCGATGTCGCGAGACCCAAACAATGGAACGCTCATGCTATGGACGCTATCGAATCGTATAGGGCCTTCGTCGAAATCCTTGATCATTTGAGTTGTAGTGACGCTGTCTGAGACACCGGGGATAAACAACTGCGCATGTACGTCAGTTCCCTCTCGCTCAGCAAAGCCGATCATGTCGTGCATAACAACATTGTATTTTAAAGTACTCGACGGAGCTCGGGCGCTAGAAGGTTCCAAGGATACTTTAATAATACCAATGGCATGAGAAGTATGAGGCGATAGGACGTCCAAGGCGAAATCCTGGACTCGGCTATCAAAGACAGCTCGGAGAGGGACATCAACCTCGCCGACGAGAGAATACTCGGGCATGCAATTCTCAACAAAGGGATTGTCTAGCTTGAAATGTTGAGAGTATTCAGGCTGGTCAAGATATTGATGCATTTGTCGCATCTGCCGCACGCGGTCATGGAGCTTCTCTAAGCTCCAAAGATGGACGACGGTGTTCTTGTAGTCCACAACGCGGACTCCTACACACGGCTTTTGAGCTTCGTCAAGAGCTGGGTCTTCACCCTCGCTTGGTACGTCGTTCAGTACCATATCATAGGAAGAACAGCGCGCGTGACCGATATCCACAACCGTGAATTGGAAGACAACGTTCTCTCCCAGTTCCTCACTCATAATCTGCGCCTCCTTGAGCGTAGTCGCATGTTGTAGGACGGCTTCGGCCATCTGTACGTAATGCCGGCCTCTCCAGTGCGCGATGGTCTTTTTAGCCCTCCCAATCTCCTCTTCAGTTAGTTTTGGTTTTGCCTTGGGTCTCTTCATGGGGTCGAGCTTTTCAATCTTAGCCTCGAACTGTTGCTTTTGGGTCTCCAATTGCTTTTGCATGTCGGCTTTTAGCTGGACTAGAGTCTCTTCCATCCTAGCTTTCTCCTTTTTAATCTCCTCCACCTCAACGTTAGCCACACCGGCGCTCTTCAGCTGCCCTTGATATTCTTCTTTTTGCTTCTCCAGCTGATCCTGCATGCTATCTCGCATTTCTTTAAGCCGATCGTCCCCTTCGCCAGCCTTCGGGGTAGACGGCATCGTAAGCGCCGTATCCAACGAGAGATTATCAATTGTTCCAGTCGACATATACTTCTCCCTAATAGGATAGGAAGTGTTAGATTCCGAATCGTCATCGCCTTCACGATCGTTGACACGCTCAGCTCTAGCTCGCTGCACGTCTTCGAACAACGCATTAAGCTCCTCGTCTGTCAAACTTTGAAGGTTCTTATCTGTTCCGAGGATGGCACCCGCGGCTTCTCGTCGTGCAAAGGACCAATCTGTATCACGCTCGCTTCGATACGGAGCGGGCGAGTCTGGGCGACTGTCAGGAAACTCGGAACCAGCTTTACTGAAGGATCGTTCGTGACCTGGCCGCGGGGATGGAGATGTGCGTTCCAGATCTCGCAATTGGTTTACAGTAACGGACTGCCGAAGTAGACTTTGCCGGTTCTCGTCCCTTTCTGCACGAGCCTCCATAGGATGATTGAATCTAAATATATGAAAGTCACCCAAAATGACACGGAAGCCAGAATGCAATCTTGTCGTCTCTGCGATGCGCTTTCCGTTAACCATGATAGACGCACCTTCGCTTGGTGTTATTGTAACAATGCCGTCTGAAGAATTGTCAAAGCAACAGTGCTCATGAAGAATTCGAGTGCCGTTGAGACGGATATTTGCCTGATGCTCCGAATTCGATTCCACATTTCCTACCGTCGTCCTGCCCGGCTTGAGGTTATAGACCAAACATTCCGCGAGAAGAGGGTCATCAGACAAGTTGACCAAGTGAGGCATCTTCTTGGGAGTATGTAATCCCACGAATCCCTTTTCGATGCTGATACCAAGTTCTTCAAGAGCAGCTTCTCGCTCCTTGTGGATCTCTTCCGTCTTCTGGAGTTTCTCTTCCCAGGTTTGGTTGAGATCAGTCAACAGCTTCTCGCTTTGGCTTAGCTGTTCAGCAATTTCCGCCTTTGATACCTTCTTGATAGAACCATCGGATTGCGTAATGCTGACGATCTGTTTCTCTAGAGGTGTGCCTTCAGCATAGACTTCTTCTGGGGGGACGGCAGAGCCGCCAGAGCCACCGCCACCACCTCCCAATTTGCTTCGTAGTATTGATAACTCTTCCTTCAGTTCTCTAATCATGCGAGCATTCGCATCTTCATTAACAACAGCATGGTTCTTAATTCGCTTAGCGGAGTCAGCATATCGTAGGGTACTTAAAGTTTCGTCGTAGTTGATATCAGCCGGGCTGATTGCTGCAATCATAGCGGTCATACTGTTTCCACCGAGTGAGTCCTTTAGAAGCCACGTTAAAACACTATCTCGATATGGAACGGTTCCTCCCGGTCCTTTCTTCTTTTTCCCCGTTGAGAGGTCGGCTAATGCTGCTATCACACGGCCAAGCGTCGAGAGGGACCTATTGATCTCAGCACCTTCCTTTAGTCGAGCACCAGTAGCACCAGTTGACGTTGCTCTCTCCGAACCAGCTAAATCGACCAAGCTAATTTTCGCTTGCTTCTCCATCTCCATTTTCGTCTCGGCATCGTATTTCTTTTGTGTGAGCATGAGCGTGAACACGGCGTGACTCCTACTGGATGTTTCGTTCATGTTTGTCGCAGCAACTGTTCTTGCCTTGTTGCCTTCGTCCATAAGGTGCTCGATCTCCTGAAAGCTGCTGACCACTAGCTTGGCGAGATCCTCTACGTAAGGACCAGTTGAGGGGTGTTCTCGGACCTTCAGGTTCCCCTTTGTGGATGGGTTTAACAAATCCCGTACCCTTTCATTATAAATCTCGAGATACGACACTTCTACAGTACACCGTGTCGTCTTGTCTTTCTGCAGTTCTTCGATTCTCCTAAACATATCCTGGCAGATGTGGGGTATAATACCGGCCTCTTTGCCATATCCCATCATGGAATATGACTTGCCAGAACCCGTCTGTCCGTAAGCAAAGATACAGTTGTTATATCCTTGAAAAGCATTGTCCAAAAGTGGTTTTCCAAGATCGCCATGTAAGCTTTCTTGGCCGGCGTAGTTTGGGTCGCTTTTGTTAAAGGACCAATATGACTTGTCAAAGGCGAACGACTTCAGTGTGTTATCTTTTGATCCTTTGGCGCCATGAGCAACTTCAGCAGGTGGTGTCAGAACCGTTTGGTTGCCCTTCATCTCAACAATACATTTTGCCCCACGGTCGATTTCTATACTGAGTTAGCATCCAGCCAGTCCAAGCGTAAAAGCCCGACAGAGTTATCTAAGTCTTATCAACCTAGCAAATAGTCACAACCGTACCTCTACTGTTAAAGGGCCGACATCTCACCACCACCTTAATATTTCCTCCACCGGCGGGCGCCATGGTTGCTAGTCGAAGGAGATGCCCTCCTATCCACTACAGCTATTCACCAAGTATAAAGTAGAGTCGAGGCATCCGACAGACAGGGCGCGCAACGATGGCTTTTAGTGGAGCCGTCTGGTATAAACCTCGCGTCGCAAAGACTCTCGAAGCCCCTCACTGATTTTTGAATTTTGAAAGATCGCAGTCGGATAACTAATTTGTCCAGTCCTATAATTTTTGACAGATCCTAGCTTAATAACAATCCCCAACTATTCATCCTCCCCTTTATTACACGGGGACGGCCGCGAAACTCAACCCGTAGCTCCCGTGAAAGCACTTAGTACCGGATGGCGACGGTGGAGTCGTGAATGCAGGGAGCAGATCGCCAAAAGCAGCCAAGCGGCTGCAGGTTGCCGTAAAATGTGTATAGTGGGACGGCCAGATCGTGAGATGCAGAGGTGTGAGCGTAGTATGTAAGGCTTTTTTTCTTCGCAGCAGGAGTCTATCGCAGAATGTCGGGCGTTGTCGCGGAGATGGCTGTTGAATTTTGGTTGGTGGGATCAGTCAACAACTTGTTAACAAGTAAATGGTTGTAAATGGTTAATGGTTAATCGGGAACGCGATTCGCGACCGGCGGCTTCTCATTCGCTGTAGAAAGAGATAACTATGGGGCAAATGCCAAGAGATTCACGTGTCGGTATGATTAAACTCATTAGCTAAGATTAGGTGCTGACCTGGTACAAAAGTTTGCGGTACTTGTCAGCTGCCTCGCCTTTGAACCAGTTGGAGTCAACTGATACCTAAGGACCCAAGCATTAAATTTAGTAATATCCCCCCCTATTAGTCAACGAATAATACTTAATTAATAAGCCCCAATTTAGAATAGGCAAATAATGATACTATACCCAATAGCTCTAAACTAGACCCTATAGAAATAGTCAGGTCAGGTCTACTATATCACCAAAATCCGGGAGAATTTGAGAATGCATGCGACTTTTTTTATTATGACGCAGATGATCAGTCTTCAAAGGCCTATTTCAAGCCTAAATCCTTCTGTAATTGACCTTTAGTAGTGGACGGGTAGAAGTCTTTGTTCTCCTCAAACGTCTTAACAGCTAAGTCCCTATCTAGCTCATTCAGCTTCCTGTACAAAGGTCTCACGAACTTCATGCGTCCGACGGACCCGAGGAGGTCAACTATGCCGGATAGCTCTTGTTTGTCTCCAGCCTGGAGAGCGATTAGATAGTACGCCGATTTTAACTCGACGTTCTTTGAGGAACTAATATTATAAGTGGTTCCCAAGAGATGCGACCTCTCAACATTCAGGGGCTTCGGGAAGCTTTGTACCGCTTGCAAGAAGACAAGTGTCTGATTAGCCGTAAATGATTCGATGTCTTTACTAGTTGGTTGGTAATCCTGCAGATTGTGAGCTCCTAAGCAACAATACCATAGACTAGGTGTTAGGCAAGGCAAAGCTACTTACCTCATTCTTCCATTTCTCAGCCAGCGCAAGGCAGCTGTCAACATAAGCCGTGTTGAAGTCAGGCTTTGGTGGCAAGCCTGGCTCGTAGAACTTCTCATCCCAAGGAATAGTGGCAATCTTTTCCCGAATCTCCGAATTACCATAGCTCTCAAAGAAATCCAGGAAAGTCTTCTTGAACTCAAAAGAATCCAGGGACTTGTTAGCCCACGTCTTGAAGTAATGAGGGATGAACTTGTCGAAATGTTCCCTTCCGACCAATCGGTCAAGGTAGTAGAGGAAGTGAAAGCCTTTCTCGTATGGGATCGTACTGAAAGCATCCTCAGGATCCACCCCTTTATGATTGATAATGAGTTTGGTAAACTCATGGTCAGACCCGAACAACGCCACAGAGTCCTCTATAAACTCGTTAGAGCTGAACAAAAAAGCATACGTCGAATCACATACCAAGTGCCTTCCAGCCGATAATAGCTGAGAAGTCGAATTGAGGTTCGCCGTGAACGGCCGCGCCAATACGTCGCTCAAGGTAGGTTGTCCATCCTTCATTCAACCAACTACAACCGTTTTAGCACTACATCGCGAAACAATCATCGACGGGGAAACCTACAAGTGTTCCCAGGACGCACAGCCTACGAGATTACCACTCCAACTATGACTCAACTCATGTGCGATTACATCAACATTCTGGCGGTCTCCACTGATGATAGTGGGCGTAGCAAAAGTGAAGATAGGATTCTCCATCCCTACAAGTGTAAGTTAGCGAGGCCCCAAAACTACCTAAGAAGTCACTAGGAGCCTTACCTCCATAAGCGAAGCTCGGGGGCAGCACTAATACGTTATACTCTCCCCATTGGTATTCGAAGATCAGCTTCTCTGCTACTTCGAGGAACTTGTCCATATCCGCCTCGAGTTCCCATTTTGCGCCCTCGAGTGCCTCAGGGCCAGTCGTAACAACAGACCGTTTCCCAATGCGTGCAGTTGCAAGGTCTCCTGATGCTAGGGCAAATAAATACGAAGGGATAGGTACCTTCTGCTCAAAGCGGAACAGCCTGGCCCCCTCTCCCTTGTTATCCGAAGGCACGGGCACCCCGCTAGCAACTACCGGTAGCGGCGAGGTGATGTTGAAAGTAAATGTTGACTTGACATCTGGAGTATCTTGACAAGGGAAAATAGATCGGGCCAGAATAGCTTGGCACTGGGAGTATACATATGGGTGCTTCTTGTTACCAGTCTGAGCTGGGGTCATCCATTGCAAACCAACGCAACTCTTAGTGGTCTCTAGGGCAATATCCAGCTTTACAACGTCACCCTGAGATACACCATTCGGTACGGAGACATGAAGCGGTGCGCCATAAGGTTCGACTCGATCTTTGACAGCCCATTCTGAGTCGACCGAGTCAAGCTTGACCGATGAAATAGATAGGTGATTTGTATCGAGGATGATCTCACGGCTTGCTTTGTTGGTTAGAGATTCAAGCTCTAGGAGAACAGAGCCTTCCAGACGCTGCTTCTCGAAATTGACCTTGAAGTTTACGGTCGTGTGTTTGATGCCCCATTCGCCATAATTGGCCAGTGTATTAGGGTCACGAGGTGCCATGGTTCTCTTCGAGGCAAGGCTAAAGTGTCGTAAATGAATGTGCACTGACAATTTGCTGTTTGCGAGCCGGATACTTCTGAACAGAAGACGCCCCCTCACAAAGCTGTTTAGCTCTCTCATCGAACTGGAATATCAGCCACCTACCAGATTAAGCCAAGTACCTATGGGTAGGTACATGGAGCTTTGCTTGTTGGTTCGTGTGGAAGATACCTAAGCGGGGCAATGATGCTCGCTCGTGGTTCCCGAAGCAAACCGTCTCAAGCCTAAAAAGAATCTACGGAATTCATCTAAGAGAACGGAGTTAAGCCCCTCATTTACATATGCCTATTTAGGTAACTAAATGTTTTGTACCTTATACCTGATAGCTTCATATAAGACGATTATTCAGCATGAAGCTTTAAGACCTCATAGTAGGTAGGTCCTCTTACGTGATCCTTCTTAGCACTTACATCATCATGGCAAATAGAGAAGCTTAGTTAACTAAATATGAAAGTTGAATAACTGGAATAACTGGATTATTAGTAGGTAACCTGAAACGATACTCCCTGATGGCTTACTTACTAGGTTAAGTTGTGACTAGCCTGCCACGAACTGCACCAGATCCTTCTACCCTGAAACAATTTTGATAGCATGCTCGTTTTTTCTTGTTATCTGTTGCCGAAAGTAGAGTTGAGGATACCCGTCCCCATGTCTAGGGTACTCGATAGAGGATGGGATGAAAACATTCCCAGAAGTCCAGAACGACCTACGTAGCGTAAAGAACAACATCTCAACGTCACTCGCTGACTGAGGTATGCAGGAATAAGTTGTCTAAACCCAACAACAATTCGTTTAAACCTGCAGTACTAGGATTCTCTAAGAAAAAAGGGGGCAGAGTAACAGAGCCAAGATGTTTTTGTTACTTCATCTGTCAGCCCGGGGTAGCATTCAAGTGTTTCTCACCGGTCGTTCCATTGAAGGATGACAGACAGCAAAGTTGGTGAGAATGACTACATACGGCCCTGCTTCGGCGATTGTGATTGCTTATCACTATGTAGTCGGCTGGCACTGTGACTTGAGTTGCTCCCACCACGTTGGGTAACGACTTGGTTATCCCAACGTCTTCACGGAGCCCGTGCTCAGATCTTGGCATGCAACTCGACGACTTAAGCACTTCTATTCGAGATAGCTTCTTGGCGAATGAACGTACTGCACAGCACAGACCATAAACAGGCAAGCGCTCCCGGACCTCATGGTGATATTTCTGCATACCTGTAAGCTATGCCTTTTACATACATCTGCATATGTACATAGTTACCGTTACTCGAAGCACAGAGATATTCGGGAAATTTGCTGTGATTGTTTGAATGATACCTATGTATGTATGATTTCACGCTTGATGTTGCATTAGTCTCCTTTTTACATCGTTAAGTTATCACTTGTACATGTAACTCGCGACTCTACATATGTACACTTGGGTTCGAGAAACAGGATTCTTAAAACTGCATAACTAATGCTAGGTTAAAGCCTTTCCAGTACCTATCTCAAGTGCATTATGCATTAGGTCTAATTAGGTGCTGCATAAGTTATATTTACTCCTAGTTACATTAGGTACCTACCTACCTAAGAGGTAGTTCGTAAAGGTTGCTTCTTCCCCAACCCAGCATAAATCCATATCATTTCATTGTGTACAAAGTCATGTAAAATGCCTAGGATAAGTTTTTCGAATAAAAGGGGTTGCAAACCTTTCAGATCATGGGCACGCGGGGAAGTCTAGGATCTACCCGGACCAGAGCACCAATTGCCACTTAACCTAAACTTATCGTATCATTTATTATCGTCTCTACATACCTACTCGCTATTGTGACCTGTCAAAGCGAATGCTTTCTCCATCGATATTTTACTATGTAGTCCTTTGACGGAACTGCTAGGCTTAGCAAATGTCTTTTAGCTTAACATATCCGTTCTAGCCTCATTTTTGGCGGCGCGGAAGCCTGGCTGAGAAGGCCAGGCTAGACACTGCTAAGTTTGGTATGTACTGAAGCCGGAAATGAAGTCTGACTAGCAGCCCTGCCAAATTGCCATGTGCTGGGCTAGGCCGTGCAGTGGATCTCGCGAGCTTCATGCGTGGGGAATAAGACCACCTAAAAATTCCTCTACCTGTCTATGTACGCGAAATTTATGAGAACCCTGTTGCTTAAACCTATTTTGATCCGGACTTAGTCCTCGATTCGGCTAAGACCATTTTCTAATAAGCTAACCTAGTAGGCTAGAAAGCTCCGTAAAACATGGTCTAGTGTATATACGTTCAAGTAAACTGATGACTATCGTGATATTGCGCAGGAGTTTGGAATTTGAGATGATTTCTTGCGCCGATAGAACCGTTTGGAGATGTGTTAGTGCCTAGTATTATCTGAGTTGGGTAGTTCAGAAACTGCATCTTCAGTGTCCTTTAGGAGCTAATAAGTATAAATTCCGAATTAGCATAACACTCGAGTCGATTTGATATGGCTGGCGACAAAGTTCGTAATAATTACCTACAAACGTCGGTCCCATTCTAAATAAGTGTCTACATGAAGCGCTCGGGCGCGTTAGATGAACCAAAGATGAACTTTCATGTCATTTTGGTTTCCACAGCTGGACTTCACCCTTCTTACATATGCGCTACTACCTCTGTTAGAAATTACCTATTTATGATCGTCTCAAGGGTTCAACTCACGTATTTGTGTTGAGGTTTAGGCAACACGGCGTGCTAATAGTAACAACAACAAAAAGGAGTATTCTTTGTAGGTGACATAGTTGAGGCTGGGTTAGAACTGATTAACGGTTGCAGTCCAAGTTTTTCCTACTGTAAATCTAGCATTAAATTAACTTGTAAATAGGTACCCATTATAGTGGTTGTGGCAGATATGGAAGGCCTCCTAGAATTCCTTCGCGTTCCACTGCAGAGCCTGGACTTTATGCCGATAGGCTCTGTACCTGAAATCCCCGCAGGACCCTGTCTCGTTGCCAGGGACAAGTAAGAAACTAATTCCGGGGGGGCCTTGTCGATATCGTAATAATTTATCGGTTAGATTCCTTGGGGTGCTAATCGTTCAGATCCCTGGCTTACTCCCAGTTCCATGGCAGACGGGAAGGGTGATCATAAATCCCGTGTTAAGTCCATAGAAACAGATTTAACGGTCTATTGTTAAACTTCATGACCCAGACGGATGAATTGTCTGCTTAAAATTCATACGAAAAATCCGATAGTTATTGGCTTTATTTTATAAGCAACTAACCTAGTTTGTTATAAGAGTAAGTATTGTCTAGTATATTTGCGTTTCTTCATTAGTTGCATTTCGTGTTTGTGAGGCTTCAAGGCCGTGGGATGGTGTTGCTAATTTTATCTTCCCTCTCGCGCTGTATGCCGCTTCTGGAGTTCTTTATGGCGTCAAAGCCAAGTCTTGAAGTCCTAAAGCGTCTAGTCGTTCATCGCGTTTGGCTATTCGGCAATTGATTGTTTCGGGTTTGCCCATGACATGAGACTCCTAGTTTGAAACACACAAATGATCATCCCGATCTTTAAACCTCGGAGCAAATTCGGATGACGTTATGAATTGGTTTGAGCCGGAGTACGGATTGTCTCAGCCTTGTTCATTCCGTAGGCGCCGACAGTCTGGTCGAAATCTAACATCTGCCGCGTAAATCAGAACTGCCGATATCGACATTGTTTGTTTCTTTGTAATATCGAGCTATGTACCTAACATACTACATATCCTCTTAGCTTCTATCGTCAATGACACTGAAGGATAATTTCCCGACCATGCAGTTGTAAGTAAGCCACCTGCATGCCCAGTTCTGCCCCACGTCATTTAGTAACAGCGGTATTATGTCTGAAAAGGGGGTGAAACGCAAGAGATGTACGATACAAACACATTGTACCTACATCCATACCTGTCTTAGTCCCACTAGCTATGATATCAGAATGTGTAAACAAGTATTAGAATTCTCAGAAGAGAAACGACCAAACCTCCCTAATACCTGTCATATCAAAGCTCTGCGTACGGATTAGACCAGGTAGAGATGCTAGATAGAATACGAAAGAATTTAGTCACAACCAGTTACGCTGCTACTACGCCACCGTTATGCACTAACATCTCGAGCACGGACAGCCCCGATTAGAACCTTGATATGTGAACTTACCGATCGAATATCTCGGACGTTGAATTATTCATATTTCGGGGGGGATTTTCATTTATCCAACTTTCAAGTAAAGGCGTTAGTTGCCCCTAAGAAACGAAGATCACGAATATTGATAACTATCAAGAACTTTTCACTTGGTTCCTCTAAAAATTAACTACTGTGTTAATGACATGTAAATGTAGTCCTATATTTCATGATATCTTAGGTATGTTTAATCATCAGTTATACTAGAGCGTTGTTTCTATCAGACTACACGTCGATACCAAACTTTTCATACATCAGTCAACCTCTTGATCCGAAACCGGTCTCCAACTCTATTCGCTCGTAGGGCGAGCGAATAAGAGAGAAAATAGATATCTTCAAGTACATTATAGTCACGCCATACCTTCCAAGGGTTTGAAGTTCAAAAACCAGCGGTTAAGGAGGCAGCTCTTGTGGTCACGTAGGTAGTTATACCTTATCAGCAAAAGCGCGCGGTAACATCACTTCCATCATATACTGGTTACAACTTTGAGATCATGACCACCCACTTATTCAACGACTACGAGGCTAGCATGCACGTAGGGCGCTATAATCCCACAATTCCTGCCAGTAAAAGACGCAAAGGATAGTAACCTAACCTGGGATAAAGTCGTTACTGTCTAATCTAGGTACTCTCTATGGGGTAGATACTTTGAGTCCCGCCATGACCATCGAGATTAAATATGATTTATCTATGTTCGTCTAGATAAGACACGTCGAGGATGATCAGGTCTGAGGGTAAGTTGGATTCCATCGTAGATTGGAAACGATTTGTTGTCTAGATGAAGGTCTAGTCGAGCAGATTCATCCCATGGCATAGCCAGGTATGTATTTCCCATGCTTGTATATTTTAGTTAACTCCCGGTCCCAAGCCTTGCATCCGACTAACATTGTATTGGTATAAGATACTCGCCGAAAACTGTCATAGCGACAATAAGAGCTGCATACGCGCTGGCACAGATACCCAGTAGCAGGCAAGCTAGTGAAAAATCTCCTCCGGCTTCTGCGTTACGATGTCACCATCTCCGCAGATCAATATCCAAAC